CTCTCGATCATCCTTTTGAAAGCTTCTGTTACAGCAGTGTTCTTGCTATTACAACATTTTATGTTAAAATCACAAGTACACAACTAAAATTTCGCTTATTCAGTCATGCCCCGGACGTAGTTTAACATGTCACTCTCACCACACACTACACCGCTACAAGCAAAACTTACTTCGCCAACCTTCCCACTCAGCTGCAGCAACTCCTCTGTTTCCTTCAGTCCTTTCAGGACAGATGGCGTGCAAGTCTACCAAACATATTGTACCGAAAAGACGATCCACTCGTCACAATTCACAGCGGCTACAAACTATAGATAGCCATTACGAACTTGGGTAAAAGAGGTATTTCAGTTCTACATCTTAGCATATAAACATACTGACAACCGTAGTCAATAAAATCGTTTTGTATAATCTGAAGACATACACGAGTTTCTGCTTACACCTTGGACGTAAATCACATGCAACTTACCAAATATATATCGGAACGAAAACCATGTGCAAAAAAGCCGTACACCTACACAAGGAAGAAACGCGCATTTTATGTGCTATTACACTATTTCCGTAAATCTTACGGTGTCAGATATAATTGCGTTTGTCAAACTCGGAATATCTTCAGGAAAACATAAAACTCTTAGCAAAACATTTCACGAAAATCCTTTCAGTGTTGTTACTGCGGACAGACAGACAAAGGAACGTGCGTGGATAATTGGTGCAATTTTGCAGCCATTCATTGCGTTAGCGCCTAAAATCCATATAAAACATGACTTGGATTGTGACTGAAATTCCCTAAGTTACAAAGATTCCGAGAACTTCAGTTTTTGTGGAATGTCTCTGCAATAAATTGCACGGGTAAGTTAACACAGTCTATTTCCATTGTCTGACGTAAGAGCAACTACGAGTGTCACCTCGGACTGATAACAAGATGGGAGAGGCTGTTTTAAAAGGTGTTCTTAACTTGTTTTGTAGCCCTATACTTTACAACACCGCTGCCATACAAGCAGTAGTTCTTTATGTCGTACTAACTATAGAATCTAGGCTGAAGTATAAAGAAACTAACCATAAATTACGAATGATTCCGACAAGAGACCTGTAGCGCTATTTGAGTAGTTGCAGGCCTAACGCTCATATACACGTACCTATTTTTCTTCCGTATATTTCTTATCACTCCTCCGTCTCTGTCTCTCTCCCCCCTTCTCCCTCTATCTCTCTCTCTCTACACACACACACACACACACACACAC